TTCGTGTCTCGCCGTGTTGCTGCTAAGCACTAAGCTTCTGAAGAGCACAACATCCGTTCGTAGTCTTTTGGATTTAGATTTAATGATTTTCATAAAATAAACGGATTGCTCAGCATTTCTTTGTTTATCCTCACTGACAAAAGCGCTGACTGCGTGAAGGGGTGTTGTAGTGATGAGCACAGCCAAATCCAGCACAGTTTTGAACAACTGGCCGATAACGTTTAGAAAAACCTACCATTTGAGCATGGATGTTTTCTCCTTCCCAAATACACACTTATGCTTCTGAGGGCACCACATCCATTCAAGGTTTTCGCAAAACTTCTTCAGATAATGTATTACCGAAAAAAAAAACGAATTGCTTACAACTTCTTCTTTCCTCTCTCTTTCAACAAAAGACTGGCGTCTGGCGGAAGAAATGCCTCAGCGCAAAAATTTCCATAATATTCGCTTTTCTAATAAAAGTTGGGATGAAAGTCTAGAAGAAGCCGTGCATCTTATTGCGGTCCGTAGTCGAGTTGCGGATTGGTGCCGGCCTAGACCAACAAAGCATTGAACATTTAGTGATGTAACAAAGTATCAGAGTAGATAAAGGATCTAATTCAGGCAAAGAGGCCTCCCTCTCCGTATAGACTAGCGCATCACCGTACGAGCCACCAGAGCATTGTCAGTGCTTACATCCGAGTACATTGACACATTCCATTCTCCTGTAGGGACTCTGGAAAATTAGCAATGTCTTATTCCAACGTAGTCTTCCTATAATAGAAGGCAGAGTTCACGTCAAAAATGGTATCTGAGATTTACCCTTTTGGTTGAACCTTTAGCACTCGAGGATAACCACAGGGACCTGTCGAATTTAAAAATGCCTAGATAGGGCGTAATAAGAGCTCCAAACCGGCTAGACCGGCGTACGCACCCAAGACGAACGAGTTCTTAAGCGTTATAAAAGCTGGTGCGGCTGCATCACTCGCACCGGGACCCAGACCTCGAATGCAGGCAGTGTATTACAGCAGGCTTGTACGCAATGGCGCGCACATTCAAACAGCTCGTCCAAACACTCCCCCAATGCAACTTCTGTCAACACATTCTCGTCCAATCCCTAACTTTACTTCTTTTTGAAGCCTTATTTCTCTCTAGGAAGCCGCTTTTAGCCCTATTCTGGTCTATCACTTCCACTACTCGTCTAAAACCATATAAACCGAAATCATTGTAAGCTGTGGTTTCAAGAATGGTGTCTATTTGAGAATTTGAATAAGCCACGTATGGATCAACGTGGAATAAGCGTTGAGCGCTCTGGACAGGGTAGAGGGGGAACATACCAAGAGTTATATCTAAAGCGGAGCGAAATTTCAAGCCAGTCTTTTCCGCCTCTTTGTGGGAGTGGGTTCCTATCCCCGAAAGGTGTACCACACCGTACCCAATTAAGATCAGCTCAGCGCATTGAAGGAAAATTTGGAGTCTTAGTGGAGACTAGGGTAACTACTCCGAAACCAGTACCGCTTAGCTTGCCGTAGAAATACAGGTACAAAACCGTCTTCCCCTATTGATAGTCGTCCCTGAGTTGTCTTCAAAGAGGAATGAGAGCTCTGCTTGCGTCGCATTTCGCACTATTCTCGAAGCAAAGGCAACGCCAAGCCATTCTTGTTTTGAAGACCTATGAGCACTTCATATCCTATCAGGAATCAGGTCTGTCGAGGTTTCTATCAAGAAGGAATTCCCCAATCAAAGGCGCAGTTTTCTGAGACAACCCCTTGTCGAGTCAGTCTGGGTAGAGGTTCCAAAACATGATGTTTCATGTTGTTCAAATGGATGTTTCATTCTGGTTGTAGTATTCTCTTATTCTTCTATGTATTAACTTGAAAAGGGGCTGACTACAACTGCATCATGATTTCAATACTCGTTTATTTATTCATTTCGTCACTCGAAAGTCGTGCACTTGAAAAGGGGCTGACTACAACTGCATCATGATTTCAATACTCGTTTATTTATTCATTTCGTCACTCGAAAGTCGTGCATTAGCCCAGCATTAAACAATGTTTCTTTTCTGAGCTCACTATTTCAGGAATAACACGCTCCACAGCGACACGTGTGGTACGACGTTGTGCCTCCTGTCATGTTCAACAACATGTTCACCCGAAACAGTTTAGCCTCGGCCGGGAGGTGGACTGTCTTACATGGGTTGGACTTGCGCCCCGGAAGAGTAGTGGATAAGTAGTTGGGTTGTAGCGCTATACCGCGCGACTAGCTAATCCGCCCACCAAGCCAAGACGCTCCACACTGATGGCTGTACGACCTTTCCCGTCTCCGGCCTGAACAGCGCACATTACAGTCCATGCTTTGTGGTCAACCTCCCTACGGCTCAATTCCAGCGAGAAAATGGGGACCTTCTTCCCTTTTTTGGATGATTCCACTCAGCTAGGGTGGGTATTGGCGTTTGAGTGTGTCACTGACTTTAAAAATGACTTTCATGGACTAGGCAAGCAAAATCATTCACATTTTGTCAGACGGACCTTTAAGTACTAAGCCCGGGTAACAGTTCGGAATCAGTCACATTTTGTCAGACGGACCTTTAAGTACTAAGCCCGGGTAACTGTTCGGGCCTGAACGGGTATCATGCCAAGACTAAATTTGATTCAGAAAGCAAACAATCTAACTAGTGAAATTTCAAAGCCCTACAGCAATGGGCCGAGAAATGGAGGGAAAAAGGGTCTTAATGTGTGGTCTCTGAAGCTTGGACGCAATACCTTTGCCGTAAGAGGCTGACAATGAGTGTGTCAGAGATGGAAATAAAACAGAAA